CACTAGTGCATAAAGCACGTAACTGATTTCAAAAAGATACATAATGACAACACGAAAGAAGAGAAGATGCTCCTATGGCAACTCACAACCCGAGGTTAGACCCCATTTTAATGGATGAAGCTAAGATTTTGGTTGAAGTGGAGTTGAGTAAAACTTTTTCTTCTAGAATCGCTGCTGGTGATAAAAAAAAGATTTATTTCCATGGTTGATGTTGAATATGCTTGGTTGCTTTCTAAATGTCGAAGATGTGGTCAGTTTGGGCACAAAATCAAGTGCTCTTTACAAGGTACCTGTGAATCCCATGTAGTAGCTAACAAAGATATTGAGATTGAGGCGACTGCTAGCATTGTGGTCACGACCGTTGCGTCTAGCACTGTCCCCAAATCTGTTGACTCAAACACTATCTCAGCTCATGCTTCACGTATAGAGGTATCTCCTAACACCCTTATCGATGCAGTCCTCCGTGTTCAGCCTTCATCAACACCAGTTTTGGTCCCAATCACAAATGTGGAAGCTGTTTCAGAACTTGTCATAGCTTCTATAGACATAACTATTGAGGAAACTCCCACTGCTCAAGACTCAATAATCTTTGTCCAACATTCAGTTACTAACTTGTCAACAACAGGGGAGATTTCATTAACTCCAAAATCAACTACAACTGCTTCTGTCACAACTACTACCTTAGCTTCTGCTACTAAAAGTCTCAAAAATTTGAGAAACCAACTATGCCATCAGTTACAACCATTGAGGTTGTGCCGGTTTGGGAAACACATACTCCTAAACCAATCTTACCTTTGGTTATTGAGAATGGTGTGATTGAACCCTGGAGAAGTCCTTGCGAAAATGGAGTTTTTACCGGATATGAGTCCTTCGATGCATCATCTCAGAGGATCCGAAGAGGAAGACCAATAAAACCTACTCAAAAGATGCAAGAAAATCAATGGACATTGGTTAGTGGTCATAGTAAACGTGGTCGTGGCGATCGTGGCAACCGTGGACCTCTACACTGAGCAACTTTACTTCCCAGCAGGAGATAGTAGCAAATGGAAACGGAGTTATGAGGATACGTGAAAAACACTGTTTTTCTCAAACTACTCTCTCTCATTTTGTAGCTTGTTTTACGCTAAATCTTGCTTACATAATTGGTTTTTCTCAAAATTTTCCAAACTTTTCCTAAACACCATATGATCCAAAAGATCATGTCCTTGTAATATTTATTTCGCATTTAAATTGAAAATTCTTT